CAAATGTTACTGCAGCCCAGAAAGAGTTTTCTCCTTGCTGTCCCGGGGACAACCTTTACACCAGACAGGAAGTGAAGGCAACTCTCCAATACAAACCGTAGAAAAATAGCTTTTTTAGGAAAAGTAGGGAAATGTCAGATTTGTTATTGTTGTGTGCTTCCCCTCAATTCTTCTCTGGTAAATGGTTGTCCCCAGAACAAGCAGTGAGGGAAAATCTCTTAAAGAAACAGATTACACTAAAAACCTGGCAGGGGGTTTACCCTTTGACTATAGATAAACTATAAACAAAAGTATGTGTGGTAATGGTCACAACACAAATAAGTAGGAACATAATTAGCTACTACTCATACAAAAGGTGCATACAGCCACCAGCACAGTTATTGACCCCCTTTTTTGGGGGGGCTTTCCTGTATCTGTAGGCCTTTCCCAATGCCTGATGGCCAAGCTTGTTAGAGGAGGAACAGACCATCTAGGATGGATTTTTCCAGGTGTTTGCGGTTTTTCACAAGGACAAGCTGTATACCCCGCTCCCCTCCCCATAGCCACAACATTCAAGTTGCATGATGAGAACTTGCATGTCTAGGCAACAATTGTGCATGCACAGTTGGCCACCATCCAAGAGCTGGTGGCAACACTGACAGTTTGCCCGCAACAGCTTCATAGGTTCCCAAAACAAATATTCAGCGTTTTTGGTGTTCTAAGTGATGTTTTTTGAACACTTGTACAACATGTTGAATGCCAGTGCTGGAGTATACGAGTTTTAGTCAGTAGTCACGGACATTCTGGAAAATCATTGACTTTTGTCACCTAACACTGTGCTGTTCTCCTTCACAAAGGCAGCATGCAACAAAACAGAAAGTCTTCTCTTTTAAATGAAATATAACCCAGTGTTACAAACATCTGGAAATGATTTGTGTGGGTCTGTGATAAATAACTTTGTAACTTCAGGAATCTCTACTTTTAGAACGATTACGTACTGACATTACCTCAAATGTAGCTACTACAGCTGAGCGCATGTGCACAAAATTCCACTTCCTTAGCGATTTCCTTGGACTGCTTTTACAAAACTTACATTCTGACTGTTTGCAGTGTATGTATTCTACAATATAGAGAACCCGAAATAAAGTAAAAACTCTGTTATCCGGTATTCAACTAACCAAACAAAATCCGCTCTTCTGCTGATCTGCACCTGCCTTAATGTCTTAATTTGTTTTAAGTGTCTATTTGCTTTTGATTACTGCATTTCAATATTAATAGTCAGTACAGAGTTTATGGGATGGTATGGTATAGTATCGGGTAAGGCATTAGTTTGACCTATTTTTAATAGCAACTCTCAAGCAACCAGAAACTACATTCATCCGGAATCTAGCAATCCCCCCAGATGCCGGATAACGGGGAGTTTACTGTATTAAGTTCATGGCCCAAAATGACCTGCTTGAAAACAAACAATTCTAAAAAACCACAAACTGCCTTCTTCTGTCCTGATATGTAGGCATGCTTATCTACAGAACAGACAGCAGAATGTAAACTAAGCAATGTGTGTCTACACTGGCTTGGGATGATAGGTATGTTAGCATTAAAGGAGAACTATGAGCCTCATAGTTCCAGCCGACGTGTGACAATGAACTGTCACAGGTCGGCTCAATAGATTGGGAAGTGAGCAAACACATCATCGCTCACTTCTCGATCTATCCCTGCAGAGAGCCGTGACTGTCACTCACGGCTCACTGCAGGGATTCCCCCCCTCCCCAGTCCGATCCTCCAGCGCTGACTGGGGGAACTGACGGGGTAGGGCATAGTTGGCTCTGCCCCCGGTTAGGCAGAGCCAGCAGTCAATCCCGCAGCTGGGTGGATCCAGAAGGTAATAAAAGCACCTGTAAATGCAGGGTCATTGCAGCATCTAGCTGTGTGCATCCATAGACGCACACACCATGCAGCCGGCCATGCCCCCACCCTTGCAGTCACAGCTTGACTGAATGTAGAAGGAGCCTATGGCTCCTCTGCCCTCGGTACCCTCTCCCCCGCAACCAGAAAGTTCAGGGAATCCCGAGTATCTCCCTGATCATTGCAGAGGAGACGAGTGGCTGCAGGTAAGTATGTGGGGGATGGGGGTGTTAGGAAAGTGCTGGGTGTTTTTTACTTTAATGCAGACGGTTGAAGATGCAGCCTGCTTTAAACATCAGTTTGGGACACTTCTGAGACGGTTCAGAATTCATTGCAGGTGATATTACCTGAAAATGACCCCCTCCGGACCCGCTTCAAGCTGCTTTTGCATTCCCATAAACTTGTATGGGGAGGAAAGAATTTGACAAACGAAAACCCATCTACACTGGCCCTAAACGACACTCGAGGCCTATTCAGACCGGTCCATTGCAGAGACACATGCAATCTAATGGCACTGCCACACTTCTTTTCAATGGCACCCCATTGAACCTCCACAACATTTGTCATACAGTGGAGTACAACACCTTGCTTTGGAAACAATGATGCCTGTCAGATTGGTGGTTTATTTTGGATTAGATATTACTTGAAGTCTGACTGTGGCTGCTGCCAGACCTCAAGGCTTTGATGCATCATCATCAGTGCATGCTGAAAGCAACGTATGATGGGATATGTAGTCTTGAGAAATGGAGATTGCATCACATCAAGAAGCAGGGAAAGAAACCCAAAACCCACTGGGAATGCAGGGAGTTGTTGATAGTGATGGGCAGACAGAAGGCAGCACTCACTACATAAAAGAGATTTGTTTCAAGTAAGCTTTAATTGCATTATGAAATTCCTATTACAAGGCTGATGTGATAGCAGGATAGTATATGCTGGGACTACAACTCATTTCAGCTACTTGGGATGCTAGTTGCCCAGCCTGAGCCTTGAACATCATCATCTATTGCTCTTTGCATCACCTTAGTGAACAAGCCTATTAGTGGGGAAATAGCCTAAAGGGCCAATACCAGTCACACTTGGCAATTTCCATCCCAGAAACAACCAAATAGATGAATGCCAACAGGTTCCATAAACTCCTGGTGACAGACTGCCTGGATCCATCCTGTCACTTATGTGATGGAAATTCTGGAAAACAGCCTTGAGTGTGCTCAGCATTGGGCTTCATTGGTCCTTGATCACATTGTCAGAGAAGAGCCTCCTCACCAGCTCAGGGAAGCCAATATATACAGGGATATTCACAGAAGGGTGAAGAGTTTGGAGAAAGCAGGAGAAGGGAACAACCTAGGACAACATAGCTGATATGGAAACATTCTCCAATTCAGCTCCCTTGCCAGTTCAGCTATGTTGTCCTAGACTGTTCACTTCCCCTGCCTTCTCCAAACTCTTCACCCTTTAGTGAATAACCCTGATAGGTTTTATCAGGTACTCAGACTTGTTCAGTTAATCTGAAGTGATTGTCATCTATAAAACACTTTGGAATATTATTAAATATTGTACAACTAATTTCAGTACAACCAACCAAATGTCTGTTTCCATCAGATTTAACCGAACACACATCAGACATGGAGACATTTACTAACACGTAAATGGCTTAGAACAACAAGGAGGACATGAGAGGTCAGGGTACGCCCCAGTCATTTGTCTTATGGCTTCAGCTCACACCAATCCACTGAAATAAATAGTACATATTCATATCATTCTGCAGCTTAAATAATGAACACAGAAGCACTGAAATGCATTATAATGCACTGCAATACACATTCATGTCACACATATTATGTACTATGCGTTATGCACTGTGTGGTGTGACTGGTAGAGTTATACCCAGGAAAAGGTGGAATCCAAGCAATGGCTCTGGGCCGGTTATGTTCTCAGTAAAACGCATCAGCGCCAGACGGACACCAAAGGGCCAAGGTGAGAATTTTTTTTGGGCATTTAAGCGCAGGGCGGCTGTGCAAATAGCAGGTCCACCCATGAAAGGACTTGGGTATGGCGGGCACCCAGGAAAGGATTCAGTGTAGAGGGTTTGGAATACAGCAGGCTCCAAAGGGACTCCAGCAAGAAAGATTTTTGGCCCTCCAAGACTTGGAGGGCCAAAAATCCTCCCAAGGCCAGCAGGGAAGGGGGCGGGCACAGCAGGCCAGCAGGGAAGGGGGCGG